TTTAGGTGTAATTTTGGGGGGCCGGGAACCAATTAATTGGTTTTCCATTATTTCTTATGGGAAAAATTTGATCAGAACTCAAACTTTTAAAGATTCGATCCGGAGTCCGGAACGGATTAAGTTCGGGAACCAAGGTACCACTGTTTATGCTCTTCTTGTTTTATCCGGTTCATTTTGTGTTTAAATGCTAAAAAAAAAAAAAAAAAAAAAAACATATTTAGGTATAATTTTCTGGCCGGGACCCAATTAATTGGTTTTCCATTATTTCTTATGGGGAAAATTCGATCACAAACTTTTTAGGATTAGTTCTGAAGGGATTAAATTCGAGTTCTGAGGTACCACTGTATTACCATAACAGACATTTAAGATGCATTTTAAGGTGCTTTTATCACAGAGGCAGAGGTGTCTGTTCAATGTAACTCCATGGTGTCACGTTCCAACAATGAAAGAGGCAGGAGCAGGCATGAGGGTAAATCAAAAGGGGTTAAACCGCATGGGGCCAAACACAAGACAAAATGGGCAAGTAGGGAAAACACTGTTGCACACACTGGGGAGACGTCAATGTGGTCACCAGACTGGGGAGCACAGGACTGGGAGGCACTCTTATACACCACTTATGAGGAGCAAACTAGAGGTATCTGGTGTGAATCACACGAGGGCTGAATGAGAGGTCAGTCAGATTAGTGAATGGGGAATAAAGGGGCAGGAATGCAGGGCATGATGCATGGTTTTGTCCATTGATGTTCAGAGATGTGTACTTTGTGTCTGAAGAAGCCACTTTAAATGCTACAATACAAAATTCTCACAGTTCACATGGACATGCATCAGTGTGAGGCTTCACATCAAAGGACCGATTCCTTCAAATTTCTTTGCTCCTCAGATTATTACACCAGTATACTGTGATGTTGCTTTCTTGAGAACAGGTTGAGTAGTGTGGCCACAAAAACAGAAACACATGATTAACCAGTCCCTTAACAACTGCATTTAGTTGCAAATAACAAATGAACGGTATTAACAATATTGAAGTTCAGATCCTTTCAAAGTGAACCTGCCACTCTGTCGCCTTATGCAGGAAAACGCCGGTCTTGAGGAATATGGTGTGCCGGCTAACACACTGGACCCATCCATCACCTGGAAAGAGATCTATTGGCTGAGGTCGCTGACACGTCTGCCCATCATCATCAAGGGCATCCTTACAAAGGAGGATGCAGAGCTGGCTGTGGAGCACGGCGTTCAGGGTATCATAGTGTCCAACCACGGTGGACGGCAGTTGGATGGTGACCCTGCCACAGTAAGCCCCACACTCCACTTTCCAGCCAGTCTGTGGCTTAATCCCCAGAGTTTTAGAGTATTCGATTCAGCTTCCATCTGCACAAACTCCTGCAGATAGATGCACTCTCAGAGATCGTGGACACGGTGCAGGGCAGAATCGAGGTGTACTTGGACGGAGGCATCCGCACAGGCAGTGATGTGCTGAAGGCCTTGGCTCTTGGAGCTAAATGTGTCTTCATCGGCCGACCAGCTGTGTGGGGTTTGGCATACAAGGTAAAGACGTTCTCCCAGTTCTTACTGCTCACAAACGCTATCTGCCAGTATTCACTATCCCTTCAAATTTCATATGTTCTAAAGACATTCTGTGTTACTTAGTATTCTCTGTTACCCAGTCCTGTCTGTTCCCATGTATTGCTCTGAAAACCTCAAGGGCTTATTTCAGAATGTGTAAGTCTTTCCAGTATCAATGTGGACGTCCTTCAGAACCTGTAGTAACCGAGTGACCTTGTGTATCAGTTTTAGTTATATTTAATGCCTTAAATTCCTGACTGGGATGAAGTGTAACGCTTTCTGCATGTCAGGGTGAGGACGGGGTGAGGGAGGTCTTGCAGATCCTTAATGACGAGTTCCGGCTGTGCATGGCTCTTGCTGGTAAGTTGCAACCAGTATATTAATACCAGCCCAGTACCCTGCCCTAAAACATGCCCTGTGATGAATTGGCATCCCATGGATGGTTTCCCTTTCCTTGTGTCCTGTGCTGACTGGGATAGGCTCCAGGCTTACTGTGACACTGTACTGGATAAACAGGATCCTATACAGGGGCAAGGCTCCTGTCACTTAACGATATAAAACATATCATTGGATAATAGGGATGTAACGATAGTAAAAGCTCACGGTACGATGATATCACGATAAGTCCACTATGTGATATTTATCACAATATTAAAATATGAAGACATGATGACTTCAGAAAATGCCCTTTTATTAAATAATAAATCTGCGTTTTTTTATTCATGTAACATTTTTTTCCTTTTAACTTAAAGGGATTCTGCTTTCCTTCTTTAATTAAAATAGCCAGCATGTGCAAAAAATTTGCATGAATTGTGTTTGGGTATGAATGACTGAACTCAAACAAAAACAAAGCAGCAGTCAGTAGTAGCAGTTCTTTTATAAAATAAATATGGTATGGAAAGATGAGCTTCACTCCTAGTAATACTGCACAGAGTGCAGGACCGCAATAAGAGAATCAATCAAATATAACTTTGCTTCAGTAAAATTTTATTTTATTAGTCTTCACCCAACACAGACATGTTTCAGCATAATGCCTTCGTCAGGGTGCTACTGACCCTGTGCAGTTCCCATGAAAAAAGACACATCCCTGGAGCACGAAAAAATGAATGGAATCTTTCCATTTTTCAATGGAGCTCCTCCACAATGTCTTAGTTGACCATTTCAAAGATGTGAGGGCCAACGCTTTTGCATGCACAGAAACCCAATATAAGAAGCTGGAAACTCATCGCAAAAAGGAAACTCAAGAATTTCTGCGTGGAAGCATTTTGTCACAGTATTGGTGCAGCGAGCGCATCCCCAGAGGACTTTACATTATACAACCCCTGGCATAAATTATGGAATCACCAGTCTTGGAGGATGTTCATTCAGTTGTTTTATTTTTTAGACAAAAAGCAGATCACAGACAAGACACAAAACTAAGTTAAGGTCAAATGGCAACTTTCCAGCTTTACGAAACATTAAAAGAAATCAAGAAAGAAACATATTTAGTCAGTAAGAGTTGCCTTTTTTAGACCAAGCAAAGGGAAAAAAATATGGAATCACTTAATTCCAAGGAAAAAATTATGGAATCATTGAAAATAAACAAACCAAAAAAGACCGCAACACACCCCTAGTACTTTGTTGCACCACCTCTGGCTTTTATA